TCTTCATCTGTGAGATTTCTGTTCATGTCTTTTGCCCATTTCATGATTGGATTGTTTGTTCCTTTCGTGTTGAGCTTAATAATTTCTTTATAGATCTAGAAACTAGCCCTTTATCTGATACGTCATTTGCAAATATCTTCTCCCATTTTGTAGGTTGTATTTTCATTCTTAAGAAAAATCATCATTATCCATATATCTGCAGTCAACATTCTTCCAAATGATTCCATTTTTTACCTCATTTTCCCTGAAATATGCCTTAGTAAACTTGACTTACACTACCTTTACTTCTTTTATGAGTTGTTCATACAAATTTATAATGAATGAATCAAATTTATCCTAGTTTCCATAAAAGAAATATGGATGTTTCAAATTTGCTAGGAAGTTAATAAACTCTAAAAGTAGCAACAACAATAACAGCAAAAATCTAAAAATATGCAAATGACCATTTGACTGAACACAGAAAACATGAATCTGTCTAGTTCGGTTTGTGTAGCTACTATTTTGCTGCTAATTTTAATATGGGTTGCAAACATTTATTTAATCTATTGCACCAATAGTTTTTTAGAGGGGTACTATAAATCAAAGTTGGCATTGTGCATCATGATACAAATTGATGTACAAACTTGAAAACAATATATTTTTTTCATTTGCATTAAGTATGCTATAATAATGAGAGGCTGTGCTAGCTCATATGGTATAATCAATCATAAGTTAGTAGTTGGTAATAGTATTTATCTTCTCCCTGCAATCAGTGAATCCAGCTCGAACAGCCTTTCCATATAAGTATTGTCATCCCCTCAGGGTCATGAAGCAGATGGCCTAGCACTTTATTTAAGTTTTACAAAAGTTAGAAATTTGGATAGAAAGATATGCACAATTTAGAGATGCAAGAAGCATAATGCTATAAGCACTCTCTATTCTTTGATAATACTGAAACTGACCTTTGATGTCCTGACTTCTTATTCAAATAATTTAAGTTAATCACTGCAATTGAGTTTTGCAGTTAAGGAGAAGTTGTTTAGATTTTTTAAAGCCTATATGTGTAAAAGGATGCTGTTCATTTTTCCTAGTTTGGTGATTAATTGAACTGCTCAGTGCTAATCTCTCAAGCAGAAAGTTGCCATTCTGCTGCATTTCCTGCTGGTATATAGCCTACAGTTGGTTTTGTTCTGTATTTCAACATTATGTTTGTGTAATTATTTCACATTAATGTTAAACTTTGTGGAAGCATCAAAGTATCATCTTTGCTAAAGCATGAAGAATATAAACACCAGCAAAAATAAGAACAAAAAGCATCATCTTTTCAAACTGTGCCACAAAGTACACTGCTTAATAATATTACCAAAATCTGGTTTATTTGGTAATTGTTGAAATTGTGAAAGCATCTGTTTCTACACTTAAAATTTCAGGTATCTATCTTTAGAAGATAGTTTGTTGAAGTCTTGCCATTTATTCATTTATTCATTCATTTAAAGACTTATCAACATTTAGTGAATACCTGCTATAAGCCAAAAACTTTGTTAGATGCTAGGAGACATAAAAAGAGAGAGAGAGAGAGAGAGAGAGAGAGAGAGGAGGATCTCTCTCCAAAATAGTTTGTATAGTGGAGGTTGGCATCTGATCTAATGGATTTTGAGAGTCTTTCCTTCCTATCCTAATGAATTAATGGAATTCAATAATTTTAAACCTAGGCTGATACACTACAAAGGTTTGGGAGTGAGTCAGTTCTAAAAGATTTGATCTGGAAAGTGATTGTTTCTGGATGGAGTTGTATCCCTACCAGCTATTTTAGCTTTCCTCTTCTCTCTTACACAGTTCAGGGTTCCCCTTGCATAAATTATGACAGCAAATTGAATACAAATATTTTCTTGAATGTACTGACTTGATTGTTAGTAATTTTGATCATCTATGTAAATTATTTTTTAAAAAAGACTGAATGACTTATTCCTAAAGAAATAGAAAAGTTATATATAATATACATGTTTTTTTTAAAATATTGCATTATTAATTCTTATTTCACAAATATACTAATTCATATAAAGAATACAGAACGGACAAACAATTTTGTTATCCAGCCTCTTGAAATTCTTTAAAATTCAGAAAATTTGGGGATCCCTGGGTGGCCCAGCTGTTTGGTGTTTGCCTTTGGCCCAGGGCGTGATCCTGGAGTTCCGGGATCGAGTCCCGCGTTGGGTTCCCAGCATGGAGCCTGCTTCTCCCTCTGCCTGTGTCTCTGCCTCTCTCTCTCTGTGTGTCTATCATGAATAAATAAATAAATAAATATTTAAAAAATAAATAAATAAAATAAAATTCAGAAAATTTCAGTACATCTTTGAAGAAATTAGCATAATTTGGTGGTACTGGAGGCTGGGGAGAGTGAGTGTTTGAATTTGTAATTTATGTAGTTATTTTAAAAATCTTTTTTATACAGTTTACACATTTTTTTCAAGTTCAGATTATTAAAACGATGTAGATTTAATAGATTATAGAATAGTTTCATATTTTATTATAGAAGTTTACTTATGTTTTGTTTTTTTAATAGATTAAGTATTGATTTGACTTTCAGTGTTTACATAACATTGCATCTGCCACTCTTGAAATGCACCTTTTGAAATGCAGAAGTAAAGTTCTGTAAATATAAAATAGCTGCCTAATCAAGTTTTCATATCACTATCAAACTATTTTTTGAGATCAAGTGTCAAAACTAAAACTGCAAGTGAATTTTTTGAGACAGACTGTCTGTTAACTTTATTTGGAATGGCAGATTCTTTCCTCCCAGAAAATTACTTCCTTTTCCCCAAATAATAATAGGCAAATATATTCAATTTAAATTGGCATTTCCTCAGATATAGTTTAGTCGTTTAGACACCTGAGAGCTTCAGCTTTCGAAACGTATAAAAGGTAACCATCCTTTTTTTGTGGGCTTGAAAATAGTCCCCTTAAAGACTTTGGCTCATGATACATTTCTTTATCATTCCTTATAGAATCATCAGGGTGTTCAATACTAGAATAATACATCTTTATAGCTTTAATTTCTATCATTAATGACTATTAATTTAAATAATTCTCATAAGGAAGTATGGATTTCTTGTATAATTACTTTGGAGAGAATTTTTTTATAACATTTATAAATTCACACCATGAATAAAGAATATTTTGAATGAAGGTCTTGGAATTTCTCTGATTTTATTTATAAAATAAGAATCACAGTATCTGAATTAAAATGTAGTTTTCAGCAGAAAATAAGACAATTGGTGACATGCTTACTATTTTGTCAGATATATAATAGAGAGTTAATGTAAGTCTATGTACTGATGTGCTGATTTGTAGTTCATATGTGTGGAGCAGGTACAGATGGTGCTGATGGACAAAATGTTGGTATAGCTTAGCATTAACTAAAGAAAAAGACCACACATATAACAAAACTTAGTTATCATTATGAGAAAAGTGGTAGGATCTCTGTCTTTTAAATGAAAACTCCTGTCTGTACAACATGGAATTTAAGAAAAAGAAGGAAATAAAAGTAAAGACAAGGAATAGCAATATTAATTACTTTTAACAAATTTCTGGTTAAACTTAAGGCTTGAAATGCAGTTGATGAGACACTGTTTAATTCTGCTTTGTGAGTAGATGATAGAGAATTACAAAGTGACCTGCTTTTTGCCAGATAATGTTTCTGGTGACTAGTGAAATGACATAGACTAAAGAAAAAAGACAGCGTTTTAAATGAGAAAAATCATTTTTTTTACGGTACATTAAGGATTAATTGACTAGAAATCCAGGATATTATACTGGATACAGCTGATGGCAGGTGTTATTTTATTTTCAGTAAATCTATATTTTGTAAAGATCAAAAATAAAGAATGACTTTTAAAGATCATATGTGCTTTAAGTGAGAATAATATGTAATTGATCTAGAAAGGAAAAGAAGACACTCTATACCTGTAGATGGTCTTTTTTCTTTTTCATTATTCTGTAATAGTTCTTTGAATCAAAACCAAGAAATGCTCACTGCAGTCCAAAATTTATCTTGTGTCAAATCTTTTATTTCTGCTACTGTAAGAATCTATTGAAACCAATAATATGTTAATTGCAAAGGCTTCATTGATTTAAGATGTTCCAAATAGACACTATGAAGCACAAACTGCTTTAGTAAATGCTACCTTAAAACCCAAATTTATTCTGGCCATTTCTATTCAAATTCCAGTTAGAACAGATGTTATATTATGAAAATATTATTTCATTTTTATTACTTCTATATCCACGATTGAGCCAAGTCTTAAAATTTAAGTCTGGAGTTGGGAGATGGGAGGTAAAGGAAGTAGAAAATATGTTTTTTGAGTTTGACACATACTCATATGCAAAATAACATCAATTTGGATAAAGAACATTGAGATTTTTTTTCATTTGCTTATCCTGGTTTACATTTATATCAATAAAAAAGTTTTATCTTTATGAACACTTTGTTTAATGTTCTTTAACAAGAGAAATGTATGAATTGACACCAGTAGTTCTAAGAAATAACGGAAATATTTTATTTTTAATGTCCTCTTGCTTTCTCAACTTGCTTTATTTAAAAACCTCATGTTTCATTCCTTGGAACAAAACATATTACACTCACATTGCAGCCATCTCCTGGGTACTCAGAGTACCTGAAATCCCCTTTTTCATGACCTTTGTCAATGTTTAGACAACTATTTTTCTAAAATGTTCAACATAACACACTACAAAATTAACATAAATAAGATGCATTTAAGACAGTTTCTCCATTTAGGATTATGTAGGCATTAATGTATATAATTTAAAGCACTAACAACACCTACAAATGAGTTGATCATTTTAATGAACATGTACTTTTTCATTTCAATATGTACTAAGCACTAAGCAAATGCATTACAGTAATGAATACATTAGCACTTACAGATAACAGCTCATTAATAGTTTTGTGTTTCTGTTACTGTATTAAAGCACTTCTAATTCTTTCATTTCTTATCTTATAGGAAATAAATGATGTGGATGTTCAGGAACTTGTACGAAGGTCAATTGGAAGGTTAACAATCATCCGGCAGACATTTCCAGTCCCCCAGAATATAAGTCAGCGATGTTTCCGTGGCAACCATCGAATATCTTCAACATTGTGTGATCCAAAGGATCCATTTGCTCAGAATATGGAGGTATAGTCTAAGTGCTACAGTATTTCTTTCAAGGTGCTTCATTGGCCAATTATAGAGAGAGCTCTTAACAGTTGCATTAAATTCAGAATGATACATATTTGCATTTTCTGAACTATTCTCTTCCCCTAGAAATTTAGTAAGTCTGATGCAGGAGTGCTAAGATTTTGTCTTTGATCTTTTTGATCTCATTATAGAAAAATATATACTCTTTTAATAAAAATGTAATAGGTAAATGTTATTTCCTTCTCAGCAAGTAGATCCATAGCCTTTACCATGGTAGGATTTGCGATTGCTATTCTTTTTTTTTTTTTTGTACGATTTTATTCATGTATCCATAAGAGACACACACAGAGAGAAAGAGAGAGAGGCACAGAGACACTGGCAGAGGAAGAAGCAGGCTCCATTCAGGGAGCCCAACGTGGGACTCGATCCTGGGTCTCCAGAATCAGGCCCTGGGCTGAAGGCGGCACTAAACTATTAAGCCACCCAGGCTGCCCAACGACTGATATTCCTTACTGCCAAATTCCAAATTACTAAATTTACTTGACTTTTGTGGCATAACAAGGACATAGACATTTATTCTTTTTTTTAATTGGTCTACAGTTTGAAGACATTCATCAAAAATTACTTAGAAATGCAAAAGATACTGTAGTCCTACATAGTCCTATCCAAATCAGGTGGGATATAATGGGATATAATTGAAACCTTTACTATTCAGAATGCAGCAAAGAATTTCAAAGTATATAAATAAAATCTCTGAGCAGCAAAATAGAGAACATCAAGTCCCTGCTTATAAGGAGGTTCTTTAAATATTCACCTGGAACCTATGATATCTTTTTTCTTAAGGGAAATCAATCAGATTTAGTTTTATTTAGTTTTATTTCCCTTGCACTAGAAATCTCAATACATCAATTTGAATGGGGTATTACAAAGGCAGGCACATTGGCAACAGTTGGAAGCCATAAGGAGCACTTTCTGAGCAAGACAAGGACAGGAAAAAATACATTAATCAGATATACTAATTCAAATATCCCATCAATGTGGGACTTTTCCTATAAAAACAACTCTGTGTCATAAAATAGTTCCTAAGGGTATAATTGTAGTATGCTGCTAGCATTATTAGTTAGTATTTAAACAATAACTCTGAGGTAGCAACAAAGATTAAAGTAATGGTCAATTTCAGAAATCAGAAAAATATATATATTTTAGGAAGCCATTCCTTCAAAATGTTTTGTGTCAAAAATATTTTAGTGCTTAGATATGCTCAGTTTGAAAGGTTTAGAAATATAACCCAAAGAGAACTAGTCCATCCCCAATAATACTAGATAAATAAGGTCATTTTTTAAAATGACTTCTTTTGAAAGACTTCTGCATATTTTTCCTATCTTTGATCAGCTTTGGATTTTTTTAGATGAATTATTATTTACCTAAATGCTTATTTGTACTTATTACCATTGTAAGGAGCAGCATATCTTTTTTAAAAAAATATTTTATTTATTTATTTGACAGAGAGAGAGAGAGAGAGTGAGAGAGAGAGCACCAGCAGGGGAGCGGTAGGCAGAGGGAGAAGGAGAAGCAGGCTCCCTGATGAGCAGGGAACCTGATGTGGGGCTCAATCCCAAGACCCCAGGATCATGACTCAAGCTGAAGGCAGATGCTTAACCGACTGAGCAAACCTGGTGCCCCAAGAGCAGCATATCTTTACCAGGTAGCTAGCTCCAGAACCATTGCCCACAGAACTTTGTGCTCCCAACTAGGCTATAGGCTCTTTTAGACTAGGTCTCCTTCAGGACCTGGTATCATAAAGTCCATAAAGTACACGTCTCTCTCTATTTACTACATCACACCTACCATACTGTTTTGCAATTTCATGAATATTTGTGGTTTTGAATGTAGTTAAGGAGAAAGCAATGGTTACTTTGAAACCTAGACAAGGTATGTTTAAATTCTAATGCCAGTCTTACAGATATGCTTATTATGACCCATCTTTTCATTTTAATTGGTCATGAGCATGCTTGATATGAAAAATGGAGAATCCTAAGTGGAGAAAAACATGGAAGAATTTTGATTAAGAAAATTTTGAAATATTAAGGGCTATCCCTGTAAAAGGAAGTTGTAGGAAATGTACAAATTGGGAAAGCAGAAAGTAACTACACGGTATTTTTTTTTAAAGATTTTATTTATTTATTCATGAGAGACACAGAAAGAGACACAGAGACACAGGCAGAGGGAAAAGCAGGCTCCATGCAGGAAGACTCCAGGATCGCACCCTGGGCCAAAGGCAGATATTCAACCTGCTGAGTCACCCATGTGTCCCAACTACATGGTATTTTAAAGCACATCCACCCAAAAGCCTAATCCTTCGGATTCAGTTAATGAGTTTCTTTAAATCAGGGAATAAGTATTTTATTTATTTATCTTCATATCCCCAGGCCTATATGATGAATTAAGGATATACAGGAACCACCACTCCTCTTATCCCACACCTTCATCTTACTCCCATCAAATCCACAGATGGAAGAAAATAAGAAAATTTACTTTCTCTTTGAGGATTTGTTGCATAATAACTTCCATCGTCTACATGATAGATTTTGACAAAATATTCGATATTAAAAAAAAACTGACAGAAACTTTTATATGTGGAGATTTATATAACTAAAAATAGAAATGCAGGGCTGTTGAATTCAAGATGTTCCACTAAACGCAGACCATTTGATATAGAGCCTTATCTTATTGAAAATTTTATCTCATGGAAGTTAGAGGAAGCAACAAGAATAATAAGAATAATATGCATTAAAAATGTGGGAGTAGAGGATTCCTTCAGAGAAATAATCTTCTTAACTTGGATCCCATAAAAAAAAAAAAACTGCAAGTAAATATGACCACAGACAGACTTTTATCAGCAGGGTACTATTAAAAATAACTCAGAAAAGTAAAAGTATGAAAATATGACTCAAGTGAGCTCTAAAAATAGAGACCCAACTATTAAATAGAAACCCAAACTACAAAATCACAATAATCAGCACTACAAAGAGGGTATAGTAAGCCTACGTAGAGGTCTCTGGGCTGTTATTTAATTTAATGTACATAGAAAGAGAAGATTTAGAAAGAACAAAAGCAAATTTTCCAAATCTTTAGATTGGTGTCAGAAAAACAAAAATCAGGAGTGAGTTGAAGTTGCAAAATAAATGTTGAAGACAACTTTTAGCTCTAGAAACAATGTTTTTACAATACATGAAGCAAAGAAGAGGAGCCATTCACTGCTTGGTGAAACTAATGTTGGCTTGGCTGCTAGTGAGAAAACAGAAAGGTTTAATTTTTTTTTTTTCTGCTTCTGTTGTCTTCATCTAAGAACACTTGTTTTCAAGTTGGAAAAGCTGGAGTAAAAGTTATTTTAAAAAAATAAACCACTGGTTTATAAGGAGCAAGTGTTTGGAGATAGTAAAAGTATGCCTTACTGCTTTAAAAATGAGGCCTAAATAATAGTTAGAATAGTAAATGAAGCTATAGATCTGATCATGATTTAGAAATACTACAGAAATACTTGAGAAGACTAAAGACATGACATTGATATTGTTCCGAGTTTTAAAGGGAAAGAAAAAATATTTTGATAGACTTTTATACTCTAAATGTTGATATTTGGATAAACTGTAGAGTATGTTATTAAATATATGGTTTGGGATATCTTGCATACTGATTTTCATGTAGTATTTGACAAATTTTCTTATGGGATCCTTATAGGAAGGCATTAAAAAAATCGAGATAGATTGATGTCACACAAATATTTTCAATAAAAGATCCCTAAGAATAGAAGATATTCTACTAGAAATAAACACTCTATTTTCAGATTAAAAAAAAAGAAAAAGAAGAAAACCTCAAAATAGATGAAAGTCTCATTATCCTAAAGTTATAACTTATGAGTTTCTTTAAAATTAAAAGTACTATTTCAAATAATTTACCACTTTATTTTCCAAATCTTTTTGTAAACTCGATATGCCTAGAACATAGCACAGATATATTTTTTAGCTTTAAGTACTTCTAATATCCATAACATCTTTTACCTTCAATTTTGGAAATAATGGAACTAAAAGAATGTTCAACCATATTGATAAATTTTCTATTCTTGAAGTGCAAGGAACTCTCTATGGTGGCATCCCAAAATACTATTCTTGGACGTTACATTTTCAATGTTTTTTTAAAATTTTTATTTATTTATGATAGTCACACACAGAGAGAGAGAGAGGCAGAGACACAGGCAGAGGGAGAAGCAGGCTCCATGCACCGGGAGCCCGATGTGGGATTCGATTCCGGGTCTCCAGGATCGCGCCCTGGGCCAAAGGCAGGCGCCAAACCGCTGCGCCACCCAGGGATCCCGACGTTACATTTTCAAATGTTTTCCATTATATAAATAAAAGTGAATGAACTATGCCTATCATATTTGTAAATGAAATAAAGCTAGGAGAGAAAGCTTATGCTGTGTTATATAATCAGGATCCAAATTATTAATATTCATTAACTAATAAACCTAAAAGTTGAAATTTCAAAGAGATAAAGTATAAGTTCAAAACCATTACTGGAAGTCTGGGTGGATAAGACCTGGTTTGACAGCTGTTTAAGGTTATTAAGATGAAGGCAAATTTTGCTTGAACATAGCACAAGTCCTATTTGTTCTAAACCATTTTAATGTAATCTTGGTCTCCGTATCAGAGCATTTTGCGGAGATTAAGAGAGATAACCCCTTATACTACTCTGTCCTAGTCAGATCACATCTGCAATAATGTGTTTGTTATGAGTTCTAAACTCTAAACAGAAACATCAAAAAAACAAGAGAAAGAAGAAAAAAATGCTGAGATGATGAGCAGTGTAGAAATTATACCAAATGATGAACAATGGAAGGAAAGAGGACATTTCAGGGTGATGGGTGCTGTGAAATATTAGAAGGCTGTCATATAAAAGAGACGGGTGCTGGTGGCTCAGTTAAGTCAGAAAACAAGCATAGTCACAGTAAGATAGAGAGAAATGATTGGTCAGATGGTGGGAAAATGGAGTTTAAGATGTTAGAGGAGGTATGTGTTTGTTTCCAGTAAATAGTCATCTGTGTTGGTTGTAGCTAGAATAGAAGTTAAAATTATCTCTGTAGAAATTGCAGTGACATTTTTTTTAATCCTGAGAGATAGTTTAGAAGCACTGCGAGAGAGGAGCCAAAGACTTCATGAATACAGAGTGACCAAGAGAACAGTAGGTGATGGCAGGTCGGTACTATAGCATAGGAAAGAGCACAAACCTCAGAACTGAATAGGCACTTCCCTGAGAAAGAAGTAATAGGAGGGGTAACAGAAGTCTCAGAGAATGTCATCACCCCCTTTTGAATCCATAGTTTGGAATGTAGGCAAATGAAGAGAGGCAGTCATTTGTCGAAAACACCGATCACATATCAAGTACAAGGCACTCACGTTTAGGAGACCCATGGGTGCTCAAGATAGATACTTCAAAGTTTGCAAAAGACGCTGAGCCGTGGCAGTGTTAAGACTTGGATGGAACTCAAGTTGCCAGGTTTCTCATATCTTGACTCCTGTCAAACATAACCTGATGTCAAACCTGACTTTCTTGTCTTTGTCTTCTTTTATTTGACAACTATTTATCAGAAACTAAATGTGTACTAGGCTCTAGGCTAAGCCAGGAGGAAATAAACAAGGGAAACAAAAGTACAAAGGGAAACATTGGGGGATCCCTGGGTGGCGCAGCGGTTTGGCGCCTGCCTTTGGCCCAGGGCGTGATCCTGGAGACCCGGGATCGAATCCCACGTCGGGCTCCCGGTGCATGGAGCCTGCTTCTCCCTCTGCCTGTGTCTCTGCCTCTCTCTCTCTCTCTCTGTGACTATCATAAATAAAATAAAAATATTAAAAAAAAAAAAAAAAAAAAAACAAAGGGAAACATTGGGACACTATGAGCCCCTATCCAGAAGGAACTCCTATTTATATTCCAGATATAAAAAACAAATCTTAGCATTATGATACGTTGTAATTGAGGGTTGTAACATGAACGTTAGGAGAGATAAAGAAGACTGCCAGATTAGCCTGGAAACAAGTAGAGTCCTGAGAAGTTGTTCAGTGTAGGATTCACCTAACTTGTGACCTGTGAATTAAATATTAGAAGTTAGCTAGTCAGAAAAAGGTAAAGAGACATCAAAGAGTGCCACCCCAACCATTTCATATACACACTTAAAGCAATCAGTCTCAGAGGAAGAAGCCAAAGAGAGCTAGAGAGATAAGAACAAGAAAGTTTGAGGCAGTGAAGCAAGCATAGGTTGAAAGAGGCCAGATTATTGCAGATTATTCAGAAAATGTCCAAATGTCTTCCTTTTGGCTCTTCACAGTCTAATTCAAACTGAATTTTGATTCCTCAACTACTTTTATCTTCAAGTCTTCTTTCATTGCAGATTTAGCCATGCCCTCTAGTCTCTCTGACAGGGTGGGTACAGGGAGGTGCAGGGAGGTGAAGGTGAGAATAGCCTGCCCTAATATTTCCTTATAAAGAACAAACTGGTATTTCACATAGTGCACGAGAGTATGCAATGTCTCCTTAAAGAAAGGCCTGCCTTCCCCAAGTACTATGCATATATAATGATGCTTAACAAACACAAATGATTAAGATTCACCCAACAATGAAAGAAAACTCAGAAGGCACTGTTAGGAAGCGCTTACTTACAGTTTTTCATAACATTAAACTGTCATCCCAGTAGTTGAAATTTAGTGGCAATCTGTGATGTGGGCAGACAATTTCGTAAGATTCCTTGGTAATTAATTATAAGCAAATGGCAATCAACATATTATTCCCTTTGTTTTCAAGAAAAAAACTATGCTAATAAGATACTTTTCAAAATCTGAAGAAATTTAAATACTTTAAGATGGATTTAACTTTCATAGTTGCATTCACTTCTCTTTTTTTTTTTTTTTACTTTGTGTTTTATTTTTCCTTCAGAGAAGTAAAAATACAACATTTAAAATCTTTTATTGACTTTGGACATCTCTTAGTGTTTATATTTTCTAAATAATTTCTAATTTCTTTGAAAAATAAACACCTTCTACAATTGACAATATGGGTAGAACTTCTGGCAGGAGTTAAGTGTAAGAGTGCAATAGAGCATAGCTGAAATTTTCATGATTCATTTTTTTAGATTTATATATAATGACATGATTACTTTGGAAGAAGAAAGCATTAATATAACATATATTCACAAACAGTTAGTAGTTTGTAGTCTTTGTCATGTTAATGAATTGCGATGCCTGTGTATACTTAGATAATTTTGTATAGATCCTTGATATTTGTAACGTTTATGAATGGTGCTGTGTTCTCTCATTTTTTCACCACAAATCCCTATAGACATGCATATAGACACAGCTGGCCGCTTCCTTTTTCTTGTACCTTATGACATTCATTTTATGTAAGATCGAGTTGATATTTCTCCATCTGAATAATCAGAATGCAAAAACTTGACATCTTCAGAAAATGTATTATTCAGTTGGCCCTTCCAATCTGAAGCCCTTAGATCCTTACCTCTTCAGAGAGAAGGGCCAGTGATTTTCTAAGGTCTGACACTAACAGCCTCACCTCCGTCGAAACTTTTCTTTTTCATCTCCTCTTTCACACCTAAATAAGCTGAAAAAGCAATTGATGCATACAATCAGACAAGACTTCATTGTCAATGGCAAAATTGCTCAGGAAATGAAAAAAAGAAACTTTTTGCTTAATAAATAAGCCAGTAAACCAGCCATCTCTGATATGAATGGCAGACAAGCTGATGATTTTCTCCTATTCTCAATGGTTGGCATCCATGATTCTAATGATCACCATCTAATGTCTTTTCAGATTTCAAACCTTTACATATATGACACGGTGCTTTTGCTTGCTAATGCTTTTCATAAGAAACTGGAGGACCGAAAATGGCACAGCATGGCAAGTCTGTCGTGTATCAGAAAGAACTCCAAGCCCTGGCAGGGAGGGCGCTCCATGCTTGAGACCATCAAGAAGGTAACTTATGACTAACGTCTCACTCTCCTGAATTTTCACATAAAGGGGATATAATAAGTCTTTTTTTTTTTTTTTTTTTTTTTTTTTACAATTTTTACTTCTTTATTCATGAGAGACACACACACACAGAGAGAGAAGCAGAGACACAGTCAGAGAGCAAAGCAGGCTCCCTGTGGGGGAGCCCGATGCAGGACTCAATCCCAGGATCTTGGGATCATGCCCTGAGCCTAAGGCAGACGCTCAACTACTGAGCCACCCAGATATCCCAATCAGTCATGTTTTGATGAACTATTTTTTTAAAAGGATGTTTCTCATCACCAGTGTTATCAGTTCAAAGTACAGAAATGAAATATTAACAGAAACAAGGTCAGAAAGCCCTTACTTACTTGCTGGGAAATTGTATGCAAGTATGAAGTTAGTGGTTGAAATATATTAAATTGCCTCGGTTATAACATTAGGATTAGAGATACTCAAATTATTTTGGTACCAGACACAAAGTACAAATAGTTGTGGTTTTCTTTTTCTTTAATATCCACCATTAACTGAAAAAAATAAATTCAAGTCTTCACTGTGTTTTGATTACATGATACATGGTAAGATATTAGAGGAGATGATCTTTAATTTATCCTATAATAAAGATATAATTCATAAACAGTTAATATTTGGCAGCATTCGTGAACTATTTGAGATATTTGGTGCATTCTTCTTCTTCACTGTCAGTGTGGTGTTTAGCCTGGCTGTGACCCGCTTTGGCTGAGCTACATGTTCCATTCCCGGGAGGCACTTTATGCTGTTTAGCTCCTCTCAACGGTATAAACATTCTGCAGTTTATTAGCCTCTTTGTCATGTCATCCTTGCTGGCATTTTCCGTTTGTCTCACACAGCTTCTTGGATTTAAAATGAAATGATTAATAAAACAAACAAATTTCTCCTGTACCCTTTACACAAAGAAGACAGACATTTGGAAGTTTATGCTCCTTATTTTACCCATCCTTTTTCTCTCTGATGTGTTCACCTTTCTCTCCTGAAACAAAAAGAGAAACAGGCAAATGAAATATGAATGTATTTAGAGAAGCCAGAGAAAAATTTAAAAATTTATCCTTAGAAGTGAACTAGATGTACAAAAAGACTAGAAGTGGAAGAAAGAAATGTTGCAAATGGAGAATAGCCTGGATCTTTCTCTTAGTATATTTCCTATTTTTAAAAGAATCACTTTAATGAGAATTTAGGCTCTTATCAACAGAAGTGCTTGAGAATTAAATGCATTGAATATATTGACAGAGTAAGATATTCCAACTAACAAATGAATAAGTCAAATCTAAACTCAAAATGTTGCCAAGATCTCCCTATCTGCCTATGTAGAGATTTGGCAGGTTTGAATCCAAGGGAAGTTGTTGAACATGATTCTGAGCCTGCCAATTTATTAATTTGTGGTTTGGCTAAGATGCTGGAACCTGAATATATTCATTCTTCTGAAGGTTTCTCACAAAGACAGGATAATAGTTTGGGAGGTTGTTTAGGAGATACTTATTTAGTGAAAGTATTAGTGGGAGGGAAAGAGAGATACCATAATATGTAGGTGGTTCTCATGGGCCAATTCAATATACAAAATGATAAAAAAGTTGCAGTTGGAAAATGTATAATCAAAACAATAACAATATAATAATTGTGACATTTACTTGGGGGCAAATATTTATGTATTTGTCCAAGTAAGCTTTCAGGCCAGTAACACTTTTTAAAGGAATATATCCATTCTATGTATTTAGAGACTAAGTTTGAATTATGTATATCATTGCATATATTCAGTTTCCTAATTTTTTAAGTAAACTCTGGGCCCAATGTGGAGCTTGAACTCATAATCCCAAGACCAAGAATAACATGCTCAATTTCATTATTTTTGTCTCACATTTCAAATTTACTTTTTAAAAAATGGAGTTATTTTTTTGCCCAACTATATCATATGAATACATATAATACATATGCCTCATATGAATGTCTCATATGCCTCATATGAATGTTTTGGTCATCCCATTCAGATATCAAGGTTGATAATACTATACACACCAAGAAATTTTGAAAGAAAGATTACTACTCATATAGGATCTGTCAGGAGGGTAGAGTGGGCTCAGGGATGTCCAGGCTGGCCTTGGCCAAGCAGTGAGAGTGGGCCGGGTCTTCCTAGTGGCTAGGAGGTGGGACTGGAAAACATTATGTTTACTTGGGCTAGAGATTTTCAAGGCTTATATTTCCTACTGCTGTCAGGGAAGGGGGTATAGGATGAAATTTTTTTTAACAACATGCCCAGATGGGGGGCTAATGAGGAAAAGGAAGCCCAAGGTATAGAAAGAAATCAACAGCTATATTTCTTTTTTTTTTAATTTTTATTTATTTATTTATGATAGTCACAGAGAGAAAGAGAGAGAGGCAGAGACACAGGCAGAGGGAGAAGCAGGCTCCATGTACCGGGAGCCCGATGTGGGATTCGATCCCGGGTCTCCAGGATCGCGCCCTGGGCCAAAGGCAGGCGCCAAACCGCTGCGCCACCCAGGGATCCCCAACAGCTATATTTCTTACTGGTATCAGAGAAGGAGGTGCAGGATGAGCTTTCTTGATCAACATGTCCAGATGTGGTATCAAAGGGTCAAGGGAGACCAAACTTAGAAACAAAGCAGCAACCAAACATCACAAATGAGGTCAGGCTCTTTATTACAATGGGAACATTCTAGTGATAAAAATTTTAATTACATTCAAGTAACCAGCGCATGTCTATATTAAGGGCATGCTATATATACTTTGCAAAGCTTATGGGTTCCTGCAAGGAGACAAGTGAAAGAATGAGGATCTGTCCTTTAATTAATTTATAGACTTTTTAAGGGGGTGAGACAAAAAAGTTAAGCAATGCAGTTAACATAAGTACTGCAAATGTCTGGTACATTTATATGGGGGAAGGTGGTGGTTTCCAGGACACTGTTGTATTGAAGCTCTACTATGTATTTTATGAAGTGGTAAAGTAGGTACTTCCACATTTCTTTTAAAGAAAAAGCAGTCAATTCTCAAATGTTTATTTCTCCCAGGTATTATCATAACCCCCAAGCCATTGCTCCTTATATGAATTTTATAGATTATATTTGAGAGAATTATAATTTTTAAAATATTAAATCTTCTTATCCATGGATATGGTATCTATCCATATACTCATATTTTTATTGCCCTCAGTAAAGACTGGTGTCCTTAATACATATTGTCATTGTATTTATTCCTAAAATTTTATGGAGTTTTAATTATGCATGTCTGTGTGTGTGCATGTATGTACCCACTGTCATGAATAGAATTTATTTCCCCTCTGCTTTCAAACTAGATATTGTAAGGCAGTTGATGCTTGATATATTTTGTGATTGACTTGATCAAGTCTTGAAACTTGACTACTGATTCTCACTTCTTTCTTTTTTTTTTTTTTGTATATTTTTTTTTGGACTTTGATTTGCCAACATATAGTATAACACCCAGTGCTCATCCTGTCAACTCCCCCCTCATGCCTGTCACCCAGTCACCCCATCCCCCTGCCCATCTCCCCTCATACCACCTTTGTTTGTTTCCCAGAGTTAGGAGTCTCTCATGCTCTGTCACCCTCTCTGACATTTCCCACTCATTTTCTCTTTCTCCTTTAATCCCTTTCACTATTTTTATGTTCTCCGAATGAGTGAAACCATATATGTTTGTCCTTCTCTGATTGACTTACTTCACTCAGCATGATACCCTTCAGTTCTATCCACATTGAAGCAAAAGGTGGGTATTTTTTGTTTATGATGACTGAGTAATATTCCATTGCATAAATAGACCACATCTTCTTTATCTATTCATCTTTCTTTTTTTTGTTTGTTTGTTTTTAAATATTTTTAAGGTTTAAAAAGTGTTTAAAGTTTGAAATTCCTAGTAGGAAAAAATTATCTGAATGAATACCCTAATGGCAAACCACTGTAGAATGTTTCAGTTGCATGTGGGGGAGAGGGGTAGGGATTCTCTTCACAGCACCCCAGCTTTCTTCTTGAGAAGGTCAGAGGTACACTGGTTTGTATTATTGCGACATCCATTAGGTGATTGAAGTTGCTTTTCTTTCAGCAAGGGCTTTGTCAGAAGGGCATTATGCTTGACCTCCAAATTTGGCTGACAAGTTACTGATAAAATTCATAACCTTTGGGTTGCTCTGATATTTTGACATATTTGCTGGGTTCTGGGCTACATCCTGGAAGGCCACCATAACTTCTGGATCCTGCATGGGTGCAAGAACCTCTGGGTCACTCAGAATTTCATTGAGCCCAGGCATTCCTGCCATTCCAGGCATCCCCCCTGCCATTCCAGGCATTCCTCCAGGAAAATTACTAGGCATTCCCCCTGGAAAGCCACCTGGGAAAGAGCCTTACTGAGCTCTTAATTGTCGTCTGGCTTCTTCTTCCCTCTGGGCTCTCTCATGATCTTCCCGAGCCTTCTTAACCCTTTCTATTCTTTCTTTGATCTCTCGTTCTTCACGTTTTCGTTCATACTTTCTCCAATGTTCAGCAATTTTCTGGACCCTCAGTTGAACTTCTTTCAGCATTGCACCAGCATCTTCATCATAATCCAGTTTACAAGCAAGGGCAAGATCATGTGCTGCTTCTTCCCAATGACCCAGAAGTCTGTGTGCTTTCCTTCGCCACTTGTAAGCCTGAGCTGAATCAGGATTTATTTCAATAGCTCTGTCACAGTCTCGAATGGCAGCATTTGGCTTCTGTAATTTGATGAAGACACTGGCTCTCCTGGCGTACAAAATGGCCAAGTGATGATTCAGTTTGATGGCATCTAGTGAACAAGTCCATGACTTTCTGTAGTTCACCATCATTTAGGGCATCAATGGCAGCCACTTTTTTTATCATTTGCCTGATCCATCATTTCCTCGGTTATCTCTACATTTTCATCTCCCATTTCTTGAGGGGCATCAGTACCTGGTTCAATCACACCTTCAT